TGTGATATTCATAGTTAAGTGTTGTATGGCTGAGGGGTCTTAAATACAGATGGACTTGATGAAGGGGGAGAAGAGACTCTTGGCTATTTTTACCAGATATATAGTGATGTCACATATTATACACTAAGATCTACACAGTAGGCACTGCATACATGTACACATACCTGATGTATGCATGTGTTAATACATTTATGCAGATTTATGTAACTAAGGCACTTGATACTTACAGCAATGGATGGACAATTAGTTCAGGACTGTAAGACTTGATCACAACTGATGCTTCACTGGCACAGAACACATGAGACAAATCTGCGCCCTACACAAACAACCAAAAGAGAAATTAGCAGATATAATCAAATATTGACAGGAGTGGGGGAAAGTGAGGGAGGCAGTGAGGGGCGAAGGAGGGAGGGAAGGAGAGAGAGGTGAGGGAGGGAGAGAGACAGGAATAGTAAGACTAAGTATACATTATAACGTATGCCATGGCATCCATAACCTATATATATGAAATCATTATATATATGATGTTCATCTCCCACGACTGCTAGATTTAACAAAAGTAATGTATATAATTGAAATACAGTTGTGCTACCAAAATATATTTAACGACTGCAATGTGCACAGGCACATTGATAATCAATGTGAATTCTTTACACGGAATGAATAATGTGACAATTGTCAACACTAAACACATGCACACATGCTACTCACCACTTTCAAAGCAGATATCGCAGCAAAGTAAGGAGCTCCCGTGTACTCTTTTGACCCACCAATAACTGCGATTCTCCCTGCCTGGCCCTTGTACTTGTCAGTAGTCAGTGGAGGAATGAAGCTTTTAACGGCCGATACAATACTGGGGACAGTGCATAGTTGATGTGCCGGTGTCATCCCTAAACACAATGCACACATAAGAGATGCAAATCACATATACAATGGTCTAATTCATACATTGTGAAAAGTAATGCATTAATTTTCGATTAATGTTTGATTGCTTGAACCTTGTCTTTCTGAACTGATATAAGTATATTGCGCTAGGAAGTCTTTATTCTAGTTAGATAGGTATTGTTGAACCGCCTGCAAATGACTGGATGTGAAAATGTAGATGGCACTCTGATTGATGAACGACTTTCATACAGGTTATAAATTTCATTGGATTTCATCAAGTGAATAAGTTTGCGTAGCTGTCTAAACATCACGATCATTACTTAAGATATGATCAAAAACTATATAAATGGACTTAACCCGTACCCTCTCTATGTTACACTGTCTTGGATATCATATATACATTAAGATGTGTTAATTTTATACTCGAACTCGAAATCCGAAATGACGGCTCCCAAGTTGGTGTTGCAAGACTGCAACCCAGCCCAGATCTTGCACGCGACAGTTCAGGCAATAGTTCCATCATTGCTGCATATTTTAACATCGATAAAGATAGTACTCAACGAAGATGCGCTTGACTGCCATTGATAAATATGTGCTATCTTTAGGCTATATATGCCTATAGTCAGGTCCCTTAGCTTCATGATCGTTACAGGGCTGACAAAAGCATCAAACTTGGCCGTTGTAGCCTATGGCAGTACTATATATATTAGAGGGAGTGCCCAATGTAGATATTCCTTAGAAGTGAATTACAGATGATTAAATGTTCGAACCGCGCCCGCCTGTACTGGTGCATTGTATACAGCTGTTAACCCCCCCCCACCCCCCTGCGCATACGCTATTGTGCTATAGGTGGCATGAAAGTGTATTAAAACTATCATATCATGAAGTCACACTCCTTCCCTATTATCTACTCCTGATAGTGTACTAACTAATATCTCGCAAACGATTTGAGTTACATTTTCTAAAATTCTAGATACGTATAAACCAGGAGTAGATAATAGGGAAGAAGTGTGACTTCAACAAACAAGGGAAATTCGTCATTTACTAGCCTTAGAATACCTACGATTTACTACGTGTAACCCAACCAACTTGAGCTCAAATCGTACACAGTACACTCGCCTAGCATCGTGCGAAATCGTTTCCTCATATACACCTGCAATCCGGAGATACAGACTAAAACGTACGACACGATTATCCTTTCTGTTGCCAGCAAACCAAATGTAATGTCCGCCGAACTTGAAACAAAAGGCAGCTACTAACACACTCTTGCTCACTCGGCGAGGCGGTGTGGCTCGCTGGGAGATTGGA